AAACCACAATGAGATACCACCTCACACCAGTGAGAATGGGGAAAATTAACAAGGCAGGAAACCACAAATGTTGGAGAGGATGCGGAGAAAAGGGAACCCTCTTACATTGTTGGTGGGAATGTGAACTGGTGCAGCCACTCTGGAAAACTGTGTGGAGGTTCCTCAAAGAGTTAAAAATAGACCTGCCCTACGACCCAGCAATTGCACTGTTAGGGATTTACCCCAAAGATTCAGATGCAATGAAACGCCGGGACACCTGCACCCTGATGTTTCTAGCAGCCATGTTCACAGTAGCCAAACTGTGGAAGGAGCCTCGGTGTCCATCGAAAGATGAATGGATAAAGAAGATGTGGTTTATGTATACAATGGAATATTCCTCAGCCATTAGAAACGACAAATACCCACCATTTGCTTCAACGTGGATGGAACTGGAGGGTATTATGCTGAGTGAAGTAAGTCAATCGGAGAAGGACAAACAGTGTATGTTCTCATTCATTTGGGGAATATGAATAATAGTGAAAGGGAATATAAGGGAAGGGAGAAGAAATGTGTGGGAAATATCAGAAAGGGAGACAGAACATAAAGACTCCTAACTCTGGGAAACGAACTAGGGGTGCTGGAAGGGGAGGAGGTGGGGTGTGGGGTGAATGGGTGATGGGCACTGAGGGGGACACTTGACGGGATGAGCACTGGGTGTTATTCTGTATGTTGGTAAATTGAACACCAATAAAAAATAATTTATTAAAAAAAAGAAAATTATTCACCATGACAAGTAGGATTTATCCCCGGGACACAAGGCTGGTTCAACACTTGTAAAACAATCAATGTGATTTATCATATCAGCAAGAGAAAAACCAAGAACCACGTGATCCTCTCATTAGATGCAGAGAAAGCATTTGACAAAATACAGCATCCATTCCTGATCAAAACTCTTCAGAGTGTAGGGATAGAGGGAACATTCCTCAACATCTTAAATGCCATCTATGAAAAGCCCACAGCATATATAATTCTCAATGGGGAAGCACTAGGAGCCTTTCCCCTAAGATCAGGAACAAGCCAGGGATGTCCACTCTCACCACTGCTATTCAACATAGTATTGGAAGTCCTAGCCTCAGCAATCAGACAAAAAAAGAAATAAAAGGCATTCAAATTGGCAAAGAAGAAGTCAAACTATCCCTCTTCGCCGATGACATGATACTCTACATAGAAAACCCAAAAGCCTCCACCCCAAGATTGCTAGAACTCATGCAGCAATTTGGTAGCGTGGCAGGATACAAAATCAATGCCCAGAAATCAATGGCATTTCTATACACTAACAATGAGACTGAAGAAAGAGAAATTAAGGAGTCAATCCCATTTACAATTGCACCCAAAAGCATAAGATACCTAGGAATAAACCTAACCAAAGAGGTAAAGGATCTATACCCTGAAAACTATAGAACACTTCTGAAAGAAATTGAGGCAGACACAAAGAGATGGAAAAATATTCCATGCTCATGGATTGGCAGAATTAATATTGTAAAAATGTCAATGTTACCCAGGGCAATTTACACGTTTAATGCAATCCCTATCAAAATACCATGGACTTTCTTCAGAGAGTTAGAACAAATTATTTTAAGATTTGTGTGCTGTCAGAAAAGACCCCGAATAGCCAGGGGAATTTTAAAAAAGAAAACCATAGCTGGGGGCATCACAATGCCAGATTTCAGGTTGTACTACAAAGCTGTGGTCATCAAGACAGTGTGGTACTGGCACAAAAACAGACACATAGATCAATGGAACAGAATAGAGAACCCAGAAGTGGACCCTGAACTTTATGGTCAACTAATATTTGATAAAGGAGGAAAGACTATCCATTGGAAGAAAGACAGTCTCTTCAATAAATGGTGCTGGGAAAATTGGACATCCACATGCAGAAGAATGAAACTAGACCACTCTCTTTCACCATACTCAAAGATGAACTCAAAATGCACTATAGCTCTAGTGCAAAATGGAGACAAGATTCCATCAAAATCCTAGAGGAGAACACAGGCAACACCCTTTTTGAACTCAGCCACAGTAACTTTTTGCAAGATACATCCATGAAGGCAAAAGAAACAGAAGCAAAAATGAACTATTGGGACTTCATCAAGATAAGAAGTTTTTGCACAGCAAAGGATATAGTCAACAAAAGTAAAAGACAACCTACAGAATGGGAGAAGATATTTGCAATTGATGTATCAGATAAAGGGCTAGTTTCCAAGATCTATAAAGAACTTATTAAACTCAACAGCAAAGAAACAAACAATCCAATCATGAAATGGGCAAAAGACATGAACAGAAATCTCACAGAGGAAGACATAGACGTGGCTAACAAGCACATGAGAAAATGCTCTGCATCACTTGCCAGCAGGGAAATACAAATCAAAACCACAATGAGATACCACCTCACACCAGTGAGAATGGGGAACATTAACAAGGCAGGAAACCACAAATGTTGGAGAGGATGCGGAGAAAAGGGAACCCTCTTACATTGTTGGTGGGAATGTGAACTGGTGCAGCCACTCTGGAAAACTGTGTGGAGGTTCCTCAAAGAGTTAAAAATAGACCTGCCCTACGACCCAGCAATTGCACTGTTAGGGATTTACCCCAAAGATACAGACGCAATGAAACGCCGGGATACCTGCACCCCAATGTTTATAGCAGCAATGTCCACAATTGCCAAACTGTGGAAGGAGCCTCGGTGTCCATCGAAAGATGAATGGATAAAGAAGATGTGGTTTATGTATACAATGGAATATTCCTCAGCCATTAGAAATGACAAATACCCACCATTTGCTTCAACATGGATGGAACTGGAGGGTATTATGCTGAGTGAAGTAAGTCAATCGGAGAAAGACAAACAGTGTATGTTCTCATTCATTTGGGGAATATGAATAATAGTGAAAGGGAATATAAGGGAAGGGAGAAGAAATGTGTGGGAAATATCAGAAAGGGAGACATAGATAAAGATTCCTAACTCTGGGAAATGTACTAGGGGTGGTGGAAGGGGAGGAGGGCGGGGGCTGGGGGTGAATGCGTGACGGGCACTGAGGGGGGCACTTGATGGGATGAGCACTGGGTGTTATTCCGTATGTTGGTGAATTGAACACCAATAAAAAATAAATTTATTTTAAAAAAGGTTTATATGACATGATTCTTTTGAATATTGAAACGTTTTAACTCAGTATTATTTTTCTGAGATTTATTAATCTATAGCTCTAGTGCAAACTCTATTAAAGGTTTAGATGGGGAATATGTTGTTTTGTGGATAGATGATGCTTTGCAACTTTTCACCCTGCAGTTGTAATACAAAAGCATATGTAATAGTGTGCCTGTGTTCTGATAAGACTTTATTTATGAAAATAGGTGGCAGAGTGCAGAATTGCTGACCCCATAGTTAATATAAAAATGATAACACTACAGATATCTTGAGTTCCCTAAAAGTTACTTTAGGTTATAACCCATCTCCAACTTCATCCTTATCGTATTCCTTTCCTTAAGAAATTTTGAGCAACACCAGCTTAGCAATGAAATTGGCAGATCTGTTAAATTTTGATTTGTGGAAAGCCTATTGGATGCTAGTTTTCACCTTTTATTCTTAAGGGTAAAGGTCAGTAAACTACTGTCTTTAAGCCCCTCTAGCCATCTACTTTTAAATGTGGCCAGGCTCTTTCTTACCATGTCTTTTCTGCCTAGAAAATTTCAACTCGGAACCGCCATCTTCCAGTAATTTGCCAAAATGACCAACACAAAGGGAAAGAGGAGAGGTACTCGCTATATGTTCTCTAGGCCTTTTAGAAAACATGGAGTTGTTCCTTTGGCCACATACATGCGAATCTATAAGAAAGGTGATATTGTGGACATCAAGAGAATGCGCACTGTTCAAAAAGGAATGCCCCACAAATATTACCATGGCAAAACTGGAAGAGTCTACAATGTTACTCAGCATGCTGTTGGCATTGTTGTAAACAAACAAGTTAAGGGCAAGATTTTTGCCAAGAGAATTAATGTCCGCATTGAGCATATTAAACACTCAAAGAGTCGAGGTAGCTTCCTGAAGCGCGTGAAGGAAAATGATCAGAAAAAGAAGGAAGCCAAAGAGTAGGGTACTTGGGTCCAACTGAAGTGGCAGCCTGCCCCACCCAGAGAAACACACTTTGTGAGAACCAATGGAAAGGAGCCTGAACTGCTGGAACCCATTCCCTATGAATTCATGGAATGATAACTGTAAAGAAAATAAAAGACCTCAGGATTGTAAAAAAAAAAATTCAACTCATATGTCATGGTTTCCCTCAAATGCCACTTCCTCCAGGCTGCCTTTCTTGATATTCCCCAGCTGAAGGAAATGCTTCTCCTGTATTTTCATACTTGGTTCATGTCTCTACTAACACTTAACTCAAAGCTGTAATTATTTGTTTGCATGGCTGTCTTTCCCCATTAAATTTTTTATTTCCTAGAAAAAAATAAAATATTTTATTTGAGAGAGAGCATGAGCACAGGGAGTGGTAGAAGGAGAGAGAGAAGCAGGCTCCGTGCTGAGCAGGGAACCTGATGGGGCTCAATCCCAGGACTCTGCTATCACAACTTGAGCCAAAAACAGATGCTTAACTAACAGAGCCATTCAGGTTCCCTGGAATTGAGGAATTTTGATTCAGTGAGGTTAATATCAGTCTGGGAAAGGCAACAAAATCCGTATCTGCCCACTCCATGCCAGGAACTCAGAAATCTGGAAGAGTTTCTAAAATATAAATGTTTTACTCTGCCTGTATGTATCATCTGTGTGTAGGAAGCCCAAGTATAAATAAGCCAAAGAAGCCATCCAATCCTTGCTACTTAGAGGCCAATAGCCCCTGTTCCCAGGGCTAGTGGTAGATGACATAAAACTGGAACCTGGGAACTTAGCATGAAGACAAAGACCCATGAGCATCTAAGTAAAATGGAGCCACCCCACTGAACACTGGGCAGGAACCCTCCAGGCCCACGTATGTATGTAAATGACAAACCAGCACATGGACACAGAATGCTCGGAAGTAGTCCTTCTGTTCTCACACTCACACAGGAAGTAGTTATGAGCCCCTTCCCCTCCCTGGGATCCATGCTGGCAGACGAGAGTACAGCAGTGCAGGCGGAAGACCAGCTCTGTCCTCAATCCCGGAGCTGTAGTCAGGAGGAGTGGGTGAAGGTAGTCACAGCTCCTCAACTGTAAAACAGGCTTAGGTAGGCCACACGGTTCTGGTGCTTTCTGAAGTCCTTGTCAGTGGACAGCTGCAATGGAAGGAACTTTGTCTAGGTCAATATTCCAGCGAGAAGCCTCTGCCTTTGTCTTCCTGGCTGTGCAAAATGAACTGCACATCACCACTGTTGTGGCCCAGCTGAAGCCCACCCCATTGGAGCCTAGTCTTAGGATTCTGTCAACAGCTACTCTGTCATCTAACTCTGCTGTCCCGCTAGGAATTGTTTTCTACTTGGTAAATCTCCAAGTTAGTTGGCAAGCTACTCAAAAACAAAGAGTATATGTTTGATTCCTGAATGTTACGCATATGTCTAACATGATAACATTGCTACTCTAGGCATTTCACAAATAGTTGTAGAATGAATCCAAGCTTCCTCTCAAAATATGGCACCTCTGGAATTATGATAGCTCACATGGATTGAGCATTCATTATGTTATAGGTACTATGTTAAGTGCTTTTCTACATTAGCTCGATCTTTACAATGTTATCAGATTGACTCTATTATTATACTTATTTTAAAGTAAGGAAAACTGGGTCTTAGAAAAGTTGCCTGAGATCACACAGCCAGTAATATGGGAGCTAGTATTTGAACCCAGGCAATCTGTCCCCTGAATCCATGTTCTTCTGAGAATGTTCTACAGCCCCATGATGATCTAATATTCTAGTAGTGTATGGAAAGAGCACTGGCTTAGGAATCACAAGATCTAGATTCCAGTTGTCAATGTGCACTTGTCACTTAATCCATCAGAGCCTGATTTTCTTCCTCTATCATCAAGGTATAATTCTCCTGCTCCTACACTTGAGGATTAGGTAATAAAATGTGACTTTTTCTGTTGTATCCACCTTTAAAAAATTTAACAAAACTGTCAGAAAAAGATACCCATATGCATATTCGCACAAAACTGCATATCCTGTCAGGGGAACAAGGACTTTCTGAAGCTCATTCAGACACTCCTGGATAAAAACCCCTGACACATATGAAAGTAGCAGATAGAGAGTTCTACACAATTCCAGCCTTATACCTCAGCTTTTAGGGGTCTTTTCTGTAGACATGGAACTTGAGCCCAGTCTGGAGATCCAAATTTCATTGGCCAGGTGATTTTGGGGGGTGGTTTCATCTCTGGGTTATATGTGCCAGGGCTAGAAATGAAAATACAAAGCATCCCGTGCAATGACTTAGTAGCCATATATGAATTCCATCTATATCTGCACTTGGTCTAATTCCTTGAGAAACAGGCAACATCTTAATCATCTTTTTAATGTGGGGTAAGTGTGGAGGTCCCTTGCCTGTTCATGTATTTCTGATTAGGTGTGAGTGTTAAATATATCTAATCTTGACATCCCAGTTAGGATTAAAATCGACTCTAGTTTGAAAAACATTTTGGCAGCTCAGTATCCTTGGCTGAGGATCCCAGGAGTGGTGGGTAAGGAAATAGCCTACCAAAGTCATGAACAAGTACTGCTGTGCTTTGAAACTGGGGATAAAAGTGTAATGATAATTCAATCAGCAATATCAGCAATTGCAGGACAAGAAGGCAAAACCAGTTACATTTTGATTGACATGGCATTTATAATTGCCTTTGTTCATAACACTTGGTCTTTGGGGTAGACTCTTTGCTGTGTTGAAAATCGTACTTGGGGAAAAAAAAAGAAATCATACTTAGAATGAACATAGGGGCCAATGTTCAACACTTCCACTTCCTTACTTCGACCTTGAGAAAGTTACAGTCAGCCACTGATCCTTGGATTTCTCATGAGCAAACCAAAGACCTTGACCCTTTGCCTCTCAGCTCCACACATGCTGAATGGCTTCCTGAAATACTTGGTCTATAGGGACCATGTGCTCTTTTCAGTTCCTCCTTGCTCACCACACTCTAGCCACACCAGCCTCCTCCTTATTCTTCCCACCAGTTCCTTCCCAGCTTACAGCTTTTGCACTTGCAGCTCCTCCTGCCTGGGAAGCCCTGGCCCAGATCTTCACAGGGCTGGCTCAGTCTTGTCATTCAGACTTCAGATCCAGTGTCATTTCCCCTAAGGAACTTTCTGGACATCCTTGCCAAAGTAGCGCCACCCATCCCATCACCACCACCCTGTTTACCATCTTCACAGATAGCACATCACCGGGTCACCACCCTGCCTGGTGTGCCTGTGACAGTCCTAGCTCATGGCTACTGTCTTGGTATAATTAGTAAGCTTTCTCTCAGACGTGTCATTGCCTGACTGCTTAATTATATGGTAACCATCCTTATCACCATTGGGTTTTTTGTTGTTGTTGTTGTTGTTTGTTTGTTTTAGTGTATTTGCTTCTCATCTGTCTGGACTCGAGTGTAAGTTCCAAGGAATGAGGAGCCTTGTGTGATGGGTTTATGCAAAATCTCTGGATCCCTTGAAAGTGCCTGACACTTATAAATGTTGATTGAATGAACCACTATGATTTAGAGTTCTATAATGCCAGAGGTCCAGAAGGTCAGAGGTTGGTGCTTTAAAGATGGGTGGGTGGTTTCCTATTCAGCTGCCATGGTTTCGATGGAATCCCTCCTTTGTACATTCTTTCCTATTGCTGTTTGGTGAAGTGCTCCAGAAGAGAGGAGACATACCCAGGATAAGAAGAGTCCTTTGATGTCCTAAATCGAGGCAACGAGGCATTAAATGGTGCAAAATTTTGTTTGTGTATTTGCTCCTGAGGATTTGCAACCTGGTACATGCCTGGATAAAGCATCACGTCCTGTTTCTCAGAAAAAAATAACATGTTAGAGGGTGAAAAATATATATATATTAAATACTACTAAAATAAGCATTTTTAATGAAAGTCTATAACATGTGCATAAAAACAAAGTCACTACTGATGCCAAATAAAAAACTTTAAGAGAATGTATACCACGATTCAATTTTTTAAACTTCATATATATATATATAAACATATATATATAAAATCAGTATAATAAATACAAAGCTAAACTATAGAGTGCTAACAGTACTGTTCATACAAAGAAACTTAACAAAGAAACTTATATAAAATCAGTATAATAAATACAAAGCTAAACTATTAGAGTGCTAACAGTACTGTTGATACAAAGAAACTTAACACTACTAAAATATTAATACATAAGACACTTATTTTTGGTCTTTTTGGAAAAAAAGAACTGAGTTGTTCTTTTCTTTTTTTAACATGGCTCCAGGCACAAAAATAGAATATGAGATGAGAACTGCAACATTCTTAGTGTTTACCTTGTAATTCTTTAAATGTCACCAGTCACAATAGCAATGAACTCTATTTATTTTTGTATTTTATTTTTGTATTTTATTTTTTTTCAATTTTTATTACTTTATATTTTTTATTTGGGGGTATTTATTTATTTATTTATAAACTGTAGAATGCATTATGTTTTTCTCCATAATTTTAGTAGTAAATGTTTCTTTTATTATTGGAGTTCAATTTGTCAACATATATCATACCACTGGTGCTCATCCCATCAAGTGCCCCCTTCAGTGCTCGTCACCCACTCATCCCCACCCCCCGCCCTCCTCCCCTTCCACTACCCCTAGTTCGTTTCCCAGAGTTAGGAGTCTTTATGTTCTGTCTCCCTTTCTGATATTTCCCACACATTTCTTCTCCCTTCCCTTATATTCCCTTCCACTATTATTTATATTCCCCAAATGAATGAGAACATACACTGTTTGTCCTTCTCCGATTGACTTACTTCACTCAGCATAATACCCTCCAGTTCCATCCACGTTGAAGCAAATGGTGGGTATTTGTCGTTTCTAATGGCTGAGTAATATTCCATTGTATACATAAACCACATCTTCTTTATCCATTCATCTTTCGATGGACACCGAGGCTCCTTCCACAGTTTGGCTATTGTGGACATTGCTGCTAGAAACATCGGGGTGCAGGTGTCCCGGCGTTTCATTGCATCTGAATCTCTGGGGTAAATTCCTAACAGTGCAATTGCTGGGTCGTAGGGCAGGTCTATTTTTAACTCTTTGAGGAACCTCCACACAGTTTTCCAGAGTGGCTGCACCAGTTCACATTCCCACCAACAGTGTAAGAGGGTTCCCTTTTCTCTGCATCCTCTCCAACATTTGTTGTTTCCTGCCTTGTTGATTTTCCCCATTCTCACTGGTGTGAGGTGGTATCTCATTGTGGTTTTGATCTGTATTTCCCTGATGGCGAGTGATGCAGAGCATTTTCTCATGTGCATGTTGGCCACGTCTATGTCTTCCTCTGTGAGATTTCTGTTCATGTCTTTTGCCCATTTCATGACTGGATTGTTTGTTTCTTTGGTGTTGAGTTTAAGGAGTTCTTTATAAACCTTGGAAACTAGCCCTTTATCTGATAGGTCATTTGCAAATATCTTCTCCCATTCTGTAGGTTGTCTTTTAGTTTTGTTGACTGTATCCTTTGCTGTGCAAAAGCTTCTCATCTTGATGAAATCCCAATAGTTCATTTTTGCTTTTGTTTCTTTTGCCTTCGTGGATGTATCTTGCAAGAAGTTACTGTGGCCAAAGTCAAAAAGGGTGTTGCCTGTGTTCTCCTCTAGGATTTTGATGGAATATTGTCTCACATTTACATCTTTCATCCATTTTGAGTTTATCTTTGTGTATGGTGCAAGGAGTGGTCTAGTTTCATTCTTCTGCATGTGGATGTCCAATTTTCCCAGCACCATTTATTGAAGAGACTGTCTTTTTCCAGTGGATAGTCTTAGTCTTTCCTGCTTTGTGGAATATTAGTTGACCATAGAGTGGAGGGCCCATTTCTGGATTCTCTATTCTGTTCCATTGATCTATGTGTCTGTTTTTGTGCCAGTACCACACTGTCTTGATGACCACAGCTTTGTGGTACAACCTGAAATCTGGCATTGTGATGCCCCCAGCTATGGTTTTCTTTTTAAAAATTCCCCTGGCTCTTTGGGGTCTTTTCTGATTCCACACAAATCTTAACATGATTTGTTCCAACTCTCTGAAGAAAGTCCACGGTATTTTGATAGGGATTGCATTAAATGTGAAAATTGCCCTGGGTAGCATGGACATTTTCACCATATTAATTCTTCCAATCCATGAGCATGGAATATTTTTCCATCTCTTAGTGTCTTCCTCAATTTCTTTCAGATGTGTTCTGTAGTTTTTAGGGTATAGATCCTTTACCTCTTTGGTTAGGTTTATTCCTAGGTATCTCATGCTTTTGGGTGCAATTGTAAATGGATTTGATTCCTTAATTTCTCTTTCTTCAGTCTCATTGTTAGTGTATAGAAATGCCACTGACTTCTGGGCAATGATTTTGTATCCTGCCACACTGCCGAATTGCTGGATGACTTCTAGCAGTCTTGGGGTGGAGTCTTTTGGGTTTCTATATACCATATCATGTCACCTGCAAAGAGGGAGAGTTTGACTTCTTTGCCAATTTGAATCCCTTTTAATCTTTGGTTTTCTGATTGCTGAGGCTAGGACTTCTAGTACTACGCTGAATAGCAGTGGTGAGAGTGGACATCCCTGTCGTGTTCCTGATCTTAAGGGAAGTGCTCCCAGTGTTTCCCCATTGAGAATGATATTTGATGTGGGCTTTTCATAGATGGCTTTTAAGATGCTGAGGAATGTTCCCTCTATCCCTACACTTTGAAGAGTTTTGATCAGGAATGGATGCTATATTTTTTCAAATGCTTTCTCAGCATCTCTTAAAAGGATCATATGGTTCTTGTTTTTGTGATAGGTATGATCTATCACAAGATTGCTTTACGAGTGTTGAACCAGCCTTGCATCCCAGGGATAAATCCCACTTGGTCATGATGAATAATCTTCTTAATGTATTGTTGGATCTTATTGGGTCGTATCTTGTTGAGAATTTTTGCATCTGTGTTCATCTGAGATATTGGTCTATAATTCTCCTTTTTGGTAGGGTCTTTGTCTGGTTTTGGAATTAAGATGATGCTGGCCTCATAGAATGACTTTGGAATTATTCCATCTCTTTCTATCTTTCAGAACATCTTTAGTAGAATAGGTATGGTTTCTTCTTTAAACGCTTGATAGAATTCCCCTGGGAAGCGATCTGGCCCTGGACTTTTGTGTCTTGGGAGGTTTTGGATGACTGCTTCAATTTCCTCCCTGATTATCTGCCTGTTCAGGTTTTCTATTTCTTCCTGTTCCAGTTTTGGTAGTTTGTGGTTTTCAAGAAATGCGTCCATTTTTTCTAGATTGCCTAATTTATTGGTGTATAGCTGTTCAAAATGTTTTTAAAACGTCTGTATTTCCTTGTTATTGGTGGTGATCTCTCCTTTTTCATTCATGATTTTATTAATTTGGGTCTTTTCTCTTTTGTTTTTAATAAGGCTGGCTAATGGTTTATCTATCTTATTAATTCTTTCAAAGAACCAACTCTTGGTTTTGTTGATCTGTTCCACAGTTGTTCTGGTCTCTATTTCATTGAATTCTGCTCGAATCTTTATTAACTCTCTTCTGGTGCTGGGTGAAGGTTTTACTTGCTGTTCCTTCTCTAGCTTCTTTAGGTACAAGGTTAGCTTTTGTATTTGAGTTTTTTCCAGTTTTTTTGAGGGATTCTTGTATTGCTATGTATTTCCCTTTCAGGACTGCTTTTGCTGCATCCCAGTGATTTTGAAGGGTTGTATCTTCATTCTCATTAGTTTCCTTGAATGTTTTTAATTCTTGTCTAATTTCCTGGTTGACCCTTTCATCTTTTAGCAGGATGCTCTTTAACCTCCACGTGTTTGAGTTTCTTCCCAATTTCTTCTTTGTGATTTAGTTCTAGTTTCAAAGCATTATGGACTGAAAATATGCAGCGGACAATCCCAATCTTTTGGTCTGTTGGGACGTGATTTTTGACCCAGTATGTGGTCTATTCTGGAGAGAGTTCCGTGTGCACTTGAGAAGAATGTGTATTCAGTTGCGTTTGGATGTAAAGTTCTGTAAATATCTGTGAAATCCACCTGGTCCAGTGTATCATTTAAAGCCCTTGTTTCTTTGGTGATGTGTGCTTAGAAAATCTGTCATTTGCATGAAGCACCGTGTTGAAGTCTCCCAGTATTATTGTGTTATGTCTTAGGTTTGGTTATTAATTGATTGATATACTTGGCAGCTTCCACATTAGCGCATAAATATTCATGACTGTTAGGTCCTCTTATTAGATAAATCCTTTAAATATAATATAGTGTCCATCTTCATCTCTTACTACAGTATTTGGGTTAAACTTTAATTTATCTGATATGAGGATGGCTACCCCTGCTTTCTTTTTAGGACCATTTGAATGGTAAATGGTTCTCCAACCTTTCATTTTCAGGCTGTAGGTGTCCTTACATCTAAAATGAGTCTTCTGTAGACAGCAAATAGATGGGTCTTGCTTTTTTATCGAGTCTGAAACCCTGCGTCTTTTGATTGGGTCATTAAGCCCATTCACGTTCAGAATTACCATTGAAAGATATGAATTTAGTGTCATCATGATATCTTTTCAGTCCCTGTTTATGAATTGTTTCTTTTGGCTTACTATCTTTTACAGAGTCCCCCTTAATATTTCTTGCAGATCTGGTTTGGTGGTTATATATTCTTTCAGTTTCTGCCTATCTTGGAAGATCTTTCTCTCTCCTATTCTGAATGAGAGCCTTGCTGGATAGAGTATTTTTTGCTGCATGTTCTTCTCATTTAGAACCCTGAGTATATCCTGCCGTCCTTTTCTGGCTGCCAGGTCTGTGGAGAGGACTGCTGTTAACCTACTACTCCCCATAAAGGTTAGGGATCTCTTGTCTCTCTCTGCTTTAAGGATCTTATCTTTATCTTTGGAATTTGCAAATTTCACTATTAAATGTCTGGTTTTGAACAGTTTTTATTGATTTTAGGTGGGATCTCTCTATCTCCTGGATCTGAATGCCTGTTTCTCTCCCCAAGTTGGGGAAGTTCTCAGCTATGATTTGTTCAAATACACTTTCTGGTCCTCTGTCCCTTTCAGTGCCCTCCGGAACCCCAATTAAACATAGATTTTTCCTTCTGAGGCTATCATTATTTCCCTTAACCTTTCCTCATGATCTTTTAATTGTTTTTCTCTTTTTCCTCATATTCCTTCCTTGCCATCAAATTGTCTTCTATATCACTCACTCATTCTTCTACCTTGTTAACCCTCGTTGTTAGGACCTCCAGTTTGGATTGCATCTCATTTAATTGATTTTTAATTTTGGCCTGATTAGATCTAAATTCTTCATTCATGAAGTCTTTTGAATCCTTTATGCTTTTTTTCCAGGGCCACCAGTAGCTTTATAATTGTGCTTCTGATTTGGCTTTCTGACATTGAATTGTAATCCAAATCTGTAACTCTGTTGGAGAGTAGTATTTCTGATTCTTTATTTTGTGGTGAGTTCTACTTTCTAGTCATTTTGCTCAGTGTACAGTGGCTAAAAATGCATTGTACTGTAAAAAGGATGGGAAAAGGGGGGAGGGCAAAAACCAAAACCCAAAAACAAACAATCAAAAACCAGGAGGGGTATCCTCTGATTCTATATAGTGTAAGTCTCTTGACTCCCCTGGAACTTTCCAGCACTGCTCGGTCTAGAACTTGGTCTTCTCCTTCCCTTACAGCTGGTCTTCTGGGGGAGGGGCCTGTTGTACTGATTCTCAGGTGTGTGCACCTGGGGGAGCTGCTCCGCCCCCTGCCAGGTGCAGGCTTCAGTGGGAGCTGTTTATCCCGTGAGGCCTCTATTCCCCGGCATCCCTGCTCTGTCCCAGGCACTGGGTGACACAAGGAGGAACAACAAGACTGGCAGCGGCCAGCTCTCCAGCCCTGGATTTAGCTCCCACAGTAACTACTGCAGCTCCCAGTCCACACTGGCCTGGATGCTCCCAGTGGTGGTGGGCGCTGATCTGCACAGCTTGGGGGCACCCGGCAGCAGGAGCGTCCTCACTGTCCTGTGTCCTCCCAAGTTCTGCCTGTTCCAAGGGGAACACTGGATCGTGGGCTGTGTCCCTTGGTGCCCTGGGCTCCAGGGCCTGCACGGGTGGAATTGCATTGCCAGGGCCGCGCAGCCCGCTCCGTGTGGAGCCGCCGCCCAAGCCGCCCCTCGAGCTGCTCCCGGGCCAGTGGGATACGTGCTCCAGCTCTTTAAGGTGCTCGGCCCGCAGTGTGTGGTGCACTCTCCCCGGGGTGCAGTTCCTCTGTTAGTTAACCCAGGAACCTGGGGGCTCCACTCCTCCCCCTGGGATCCTGCCCGAGATCCCTGAGAGCGCCTTTCCATCCAGGAAGATTATTAAAGTTCCTGCATCTCTGGGTCTGGGTTTTCCTGTCCTGGGAGCTCTCTCCCGGGCCTTAGCCCGGCTCCTCACGGGGCCCCTCTCCCACTGGATGCTTTTTAATTTTTTTCTTCTTCCTACTTTGTTAGAAGTGTGAACTCTTCTCACTGTAGCATTCCAGCTGTTCTCTCTTTAAATCTTAGGCCGAATCCATAGGTTTCTGGGATGATTTGAAAGTTATCTAGGTAAGTTGTTGGGGACAGGTGACTTGGGGACCCTACTACTCCACCATCTTGCCCCACCCCTGCGATGAACTCCTCTTGATTTATTTTCCATCACCATCTTTAACAAATTCTTCTATCATAGCTCAAAGTTCTTTATTATATATAATATAATATAATATAATTAATATAATTAATATAATTAATATAATATAGGCCAATTCATCCTCTTTCAGTTCATGTACCAGCTATAGTTTCACTACCCAGGCTATAGATACAGGGAGAAAATCAAGATAAGTATGGGTTTGGCTAGCCAAAGATACACATGCTGAGGTTGCAGAAAGAGATCTATGGGAGGTAAAGAAACAAGGTGACTTTGGATCTGCTGCCCCTATCATTCCACTCAGAATTTTTTTTAGAGCCCTCTCTTTGAGTGCAAGAGTCAGAAAAATGCCCAACAACGGATTAGGATCCAATACAGAAGACTTTTAGAATTGAAATCCAATCAGACAAAAGGAGTTCAAAAGTAGGAATTTGCTTTTTAAGTGGCAAGATAATAGGATGCATGTAAATAAACTTTGATACTTAATGTCAGCTGTGTCAGCCCTGAAGCAGGGTCTTGGTACCATTTCTTTCCAGAATTGTTTTCCACTCTCCAGGGACTCACACACATTTGAGATGCTAACACCTAAGCTTCTCAGACAGACTTCTTCGTAGCTTTTGTCTAAATATTTTTCTTGAATTTCAGGGCACATTTTATGGTAACCTCCTGCTCTCCCAACTTCATTCCCTGAGGCAAATACATGCAGCAACATGGATCCCAATAAAATCTAAGCACATTCAGCCATTTCTAACCTTGTTGATTGTCTTAAACCTCTCAGCTGTTCTGGCACCAAAAGTATATCCTTTTTTACTGGTCGGGATCTTAGAGAGGTTATATGCCAATCCATACACCTTCAGGTAGTATATAAAGAAAAAGAAATAAAACATGTAGAGAATATTACAGTCATCAAAACAGAGTGGACTCAAAATGTTCTTATCTGAATGTCCTTTGCAAAAGTTGCTTTTTCTATCTTAACTCCTCTGAGTGACGACCATAGAAACAATGATATAAGCAAGGCCGGCATACCAGTCTGCAAAGAAATGTGGCTGGCCAGGTAGAGTAAATGACCTTCCTGTGTATTCCAGTGCATCCAGTCCTGTAAGCCCCTGAGCTGAATTTGCCCTAATCCCACCCTCAGTCTGATTACATTATTTCATAAACTGACCTAGCATCACAGCCACATTCCAAATTTGGACTAATGGGAGGCATTGATTCAGAGACTTTTGAAGGTGGGAATGCAGTGGGGACTGTATGAAGAAAGGGTTGCGTTTGGTGGATGTTGGAGGTGGAGCAAAAGGGTCCCTTAATTTCTGACATTGGACCTGACAGCTGGCTGCAGAGGAACAGGGCACCTTTTCATGTTGCCACCCCAAAGATTACAAATCCTGTGAATTTTTCTTCCATGGAACCTGGGTATCCTCGCATAGTCAGGGGACCGAAACCCACCCAAGAGAAGGTGAATACTCACATCTTCTGCTATGTAACATCCAGGGCCTCTGTGGGGCGCTCCTCGAAGAGGGAGAAACTTGTTCCCCAACAAGCTTGGGGGGTGGTGATGAGGAAAGAGCTTCCTCGGTTGACTTGTTCCAAAGGGGTAGTTAACCAGTGACTCTGAAGATCAAGAAAGAGCAGAAACTCCACTTGAGGAAGGCCCCTGTCTGAGTGAGCGCTCTGGGGGCGCGTGGGCTGCGGGGAGGCCCAGATCGCTGGGGCCCGATCCAGAACAAACACCTGACGGAACCCGGTGGAGGGGACGGCTTGCATCCCACCCCCGTAGCCTCCCCACTCCTCCTCCTGCCACCCTCGATGCCTTATCACAGCCCCGCGCACCCATCGCGCCTTGCAGGGCAGCGCTTGGGTACCGCGTTGCTAAGGGAACGCGGGGGCGCCGACAGGCCCCCGAGCGGCTCCAAGCGCCTGCGCCCTGCGGAGCGGGCCCCGCCCCCGAGCCCGGCGAACTCTGCGGGGGCGGGGGGCGGAGCGGAGCGGGGTGGGGCGGGGCGGGGCGGGGCGGGGGGTGGGGCGCAGATGGAGGGTTTGCTGGCCTCGCAGCCACAGCGCCTGCGCGGGTGAAGGACTGAGCACAAGGGCTTTGGAAGTCGGGCCACCGGGATGCGGGGCTGAAGAGGGAGGGACGCTGGATTTAGAATACCCCGAAATCCGGACTGCTAGGGTCAGGGACCTGGAAAATGATGGCGAGTGGGATGGGCTTCCAGGACCACGCCTACAGCCGGGGAATGTGGACTAAATAGAGCATAGCCTAGACAGTTCCCTACTAGGCCCCTCTTAGACCCATTTTTCTGCAGGTTGCCCCCTTCTACCTCTAACCGTAGCATGCACGAGGCTTTAAAAGGGTTGGGAGCCTTGAGTGCAGCAGTGGGATTGCAGAGGAATCACAGAAGTGCTTAATAGTTGTAAAACCTTGGCCATCTCTTAAATGTTTAAGTCTCAGTTTCCTCATCTCCAAATTGGGAATAATAATTCCTCTTTATTGGGTAATGGCAGGATTAAGAGAACAGGTTGAAAGCAATCAGTCCCTGGTACTTGGCAGGTGACAATGGCAAGAGGTTATTATGAAGATGGTATCCAGCCCCATTATGAGCACTCCCATCCTAACCCAAAAAGAAACATCGCGGTGTGTATTGGCTTCTTTGCCTTTACCCTGCATATTTTCTTACCTTTTTAAAAACTTAAACTCAATTTGCCAACATACAGTATAACACCCCGTGCTCATCCCATCAAGTGTCCTGCATATTAACACCAACCTGTTCTGTCCTGAATTTTGGATAGCTTTAGGAGTTATCAGATGTGGGAAGCAGCAGACATATACAGTGTGACTGGTCCATGCTACTCTTTGGCCTCTAAGGATGACCCTGGGATCCACACACACCCTGGCATAGAACTATCTGCAGGATGATTTCATATATTTAATGTAGGGCTTCCAAGAAAGGTGATACTGGCTACAACAAGATATTTTGCAAACTCGAGGAAGCATTTTGCTTGTGAAAAATTCCTGAGGGGATGCTCCTGGTCATGGGGCCAAGGAGGCTGGACACCCTGCAGTGTGTTGCCCCAACACATGGTGCATTGTCACATGTCTTGCATAACATTCAGATGTCCTGCTGGACTTTATAGAAATAATTGGTTGTACCTGACTTACATATAACATTGATAAAATTTTTTACAAGAAATAATGCATGAAACCCAGTAATATAGGACAAGGTTGTGTGAGAAACAAAGCTTATAAATGAAATAAAGACACACTCTCAAAATTATTGAATAATTTGCTTTAAGCCTTCTCTCTCCTCAAAATATAATTGCAGTAAAACTGATGATAAATAAAATATAAAAATATTGGTATTGATTTGATAATTTTCACTTTCATTAATATTTCAGGTAATATTAATATTTTTAGGTACCCACAGGTGTGTTTTGAAATTACTGTTTACATTACTAGTGACATGAAACATGTTTTGCAAAGTACTTTGATATTACGGCATCCAATTCCTCATTGGTAGACTGGATTGCTTCCGACTAATCTTCCAGCTGAGAAGAGGTAGAAAAGTTGGGCAAAATAAATTATGTATGTTTGGAGACATCAGAGATATACCATGAAAGAATATATAGGGCCAAGATTGCAGACAGAGGGAAAGCCTAAAATGGTGAGCCACAGTTGGTGCTGCTGTTCTCTTTGGACATCTGTTAATCAATAAGTGGCCAAGAAGCAGAGGATTTAAGTGGAACTTTGGACATGTATGTTTCTGAAAGCTGAGGATCAAAAATTAGGCTGGTCATGGAGGATGGGAGACTGGAAAGCACCTGGGCTTTTAGCTGGGACCCTAAAGGGATAAACTCTAGGAATAAGAGTAAATAAAAAATAGACCAGCTCTCCAAAAACGCTGAAATCCACGTTTATATTTACATAGTCTCCAACAGCATTAAGGTAATCTGCTTCTACCTTTACTGCATACCAGAGGGAAAAAAGTAAATTATCTCTGAGTATAATATCATCCAAAGCATTAACTAATTTTATAATTTTTCGTGCAAAATGTTTGGCATTCAATATAAAACAGCAACTCATATTTTTTTTTAAAAAAAGGGTAAAAATAAACCTAAAGGAAATCCAGAGATTGAAATTTTCAAACATGGACTTTAAAGTAACTGTACTTGGCCGAGATTTTGGAGGAAGCCTTCAGACTTCAGGGTAAACATGCAAAGCAAGAGAAAGTAAGAACCATCAAGCAAATTCTTGGCTTCTGAGGTAAGAGGCTAAAAGAAAAAAGTGATTAGACCCTAAAGACAGGGTCAGTAAAGATCCTACTGTACTCAAGAAAGATAATTTTTCCCCATCAGTCTTCCTGTTCATGTTACTAATGTAACACACAACTGTGTCCACCTATATCCTGATTGATGCAAATTTATCAACTTTTCATTAAAGCCAATCCAAGCATCATATAGTCAAAGATGAACTGTTTATATGCTATATGTATCTCCTGTATAACCAATTATGTAATGGTAAACCTGAGAAGTTAAGGTAGAAGTTCAGGCAGCTCTAAGGATTATCAAGGATTCAATGTTTGAATGATAATCACACACAAAGGAACCTATGCAGGTGATTGTCTAGGACCAAAGAATGTTTAGACAAAGGTTTTATCATGGGGCCACTTCTGATGAAGACTTTAAGTAAAGAATTTTGCAGTTCCCATCATGTAGATTTCTAACCATAGTTAGTTATAACATCAAGGATGCCTGATGTTTATGGAGACTGTTTTAGCTTTATCAGACAGTTTATCAGCTTTCTGTGTATGTCTGTGTATGAGGCCATTGTACGGATTATTATTCTGGGCGCTCCTGGGTGGCTCAGTTGGTTAAGCATCTGCCTTTGGCTCAGGTCATGATCCCAGGGTGCTGGAATGGAGCCCTACATCAGGCTGTCTGTTGAGTAGGGAGTCTGTTCCTCCTCCTTTACCTCCCCTCCCTACCCTCCACTTGTGCTCTCTCTCTCTCGTACTCTCTCTCTCTCTCAAATAAATGAATAAATCTTTTAAAAAATAAAAAGAATTCTTATTCTGGGAAACCACCTGCTCTTTTGCAGTGATCTAGTTGAACTGGCTAAATAGATTTGATTTTTGGTATAATGTTTTATTTTTTTTTAATTTTTAAAAGATTTTTATTTATTCATGAGAGACACACACACACAGAGGAGAGAGAGAGAGAGGCAGAGACACAGGCAGAGGGAGAAGCAGGCTTCAAGCAGGGAGCCCAACTTGGGACTCGATCCCGGGACCCCAGAATCAGACCCTGGGCTGAAAGTGGTGCTAAACCACTCAGCCACCCGGGCTGCCTCTGGTATAGTGTTTTTTTAAATTTATTTATTTATTTATTTATTTATTTATTTATTTATTTATTTATTTTAGTATAGTGTTTTAAATAGATTTTTGTCTCATTTAAAAATTTATTGAATTAAATAAGAAATCAATTTAGCAAAGGGGATAAAGCTGGTAATTCAAGAAATGATAAGTTGGAGAATTTTAGAAGCAATAAAAAGGAGTCAAATAAAAATTGCACAAATAGAAAGCGTCCTCTTATACTGTATGTTGGCAAATCAAACTCCAATAAAAAATACAAAAAATAAAATAAAAAAGAGGGGGGCAGTTCTAAGGGATATATAATATTCCCTATATTCCTTTGTACTATTCAACAAATGCTCCTTTAAGAATGTTACATAAACACAAATATTAGTTCATGCAGTTCCCAAAGATTTATATGCAAAATATTCTCTATGTCAAATTCTATTTTTAAAGTTTTCAAATAGAGCACATTTTGTAAGGCCAATTCATGTTCTCTAATTCATATTTTTTGTGAGACTAGATTTTTGAACATTTTCTTAAAATAAAACAATCCCAGTGAGGCTTGCAGGAGGGAAAAAAAAAGAAAGAAAGAAAGCACCATCTCTGAAAGAACTCAAGACATGACTATAACAGCAGATTATAAAAGCTGAAAAAAAATGAAAGAATTGGGAATTGAATCAGAAGAAAGTATTTAGACTTGAAACTTGGAGATGCAAAAGGACAGGAAATGCAGGGGAAAATTGACAGCTGAGAAGCACAAAAAGTTTCACTTAGATGCAGACCTTTTTATTTATTTTTTTATGCTGATTTATTTATTTATTTTTAATAAATTAATTTTCTATTGGTGTTCTTTTTACCAACATACAGAATAACACCCAGTGCTCATCCCGTCAAGTGTCCCCCTCAGTGCCCGTCACCCATTCACCCCCACCCCCCACCCTCCTCCCCTTCCACCACCCCCAGTTCATTTCCCAGAGTTAGGAGTCTTTATGTTCTGTGTCCCTTTCTGATATTTCCCACACATTTCCTCTCCCTTCCCTTATATTCCCTTTCACTATTATTCATATTCCCCAAATGAATGAGAACATACACTGTTTGTCCTTCTCCGATTGACTTACTTCACTCAGCATAATACCCTCCAGTTCCATCCACGTTGAAGCAAATGGTGGGTATTTGTCGTTTCTAATGGCTGAGGAATATTCCATTGTATACATAAACCACATCTTCTTTATCCATTCATCTTTCGATGGACACTGAGGCTCCTTCCACAGTTTGGCTATTGTGGACATTGCTGCTAGAAACATCCGGGCGCAGGTGTCCTGGCGTTTCATTGCATCTGTATCTTTGGGGTAAATCCCTAAAAGTGCAACTGCTGGGTCATAGAGCAGGTCTATTTTTAACTCTTTGAGGAACCTCCACACAGTTTTCCAGAGTGGCTGCACCAGTTCACATTCCCACCAACAGTGTAAGAGGGTTCCCTTTTCTCCGCATCCTCTCCAACATTTGTGGTTTCCTGCCTTGTTAATGTTCCCCATTCTCACTGGTGTGAGG